TTTGGGCATAGACTAAGGGTACTTATGCATTTTCCCTAATAATCAACTTAAACTTAAAAAGGAATTGACAAACTTATAATTTTTACTACTAGCTAATTTAATCCCCTCTGCTCACAAATCACAATAAAATAAAATGTTAGGCATGACCCATATGGGGATGTCAGTATCCAAAGTATATTGTCCGGAAGATATATATGGGCCTCAAAACATGCATTAGTGTGAATACGCATAATTATGTTACACTTGTCGGCTATATGAGTATCGGCTCCTTTACCCACCTATCACAAACTCTATAACTAGACATCTCATATGAAATCGTGAGATAAAATTAACATTTGAATATGTAACTTTATGGTAATTTCATTTCATAATTCTTTAAAAATTATGATTGGAAATTTCAAATATAATAATTGACCTATAAATTTATATTTTATAAAAATAACCTCGCATATATATCTACTTACACCTAGAATAATTATAATATTGGGATCACATCGAATAAATCAATTGAATGAGTCTATTTTAAACGATAAGAAAATGAAGTATGTTTGGTTTAATTTAACCTAAAATCAACTCAATTATAAAACAAAAAATATGCAAAAATTATATAGGGTGATCATTGATCAAAGAACCAACTACCGATGCGGAAACTCAACAATTATAATGAATAAGTTTTGTGTATATATGTTTAGTGCCGAAAATTTTACTCCTCAGTACAATTAACTTTAATTTGTTATATATAGCACACTACTTACCATTTGTTTTAGATTTCAATCAATGAAACAAAGTTATCTTCCATTGATGACATTAATAGTCAGAGCGATTGGTTGAATAGAGACGAAAGTTGGCCATACTGATTCATAAGTTTTGTACTATATAAAAAGATTATATCGTGACAAATTAAATTCTCAAAACTAGAGGTGTGACACTACTAAAAAATCATTATTTTCCTATTAAATTTTTATTGAAAGTGGTTATTTTCACAAATATTTTGATTGAATATGTGGAGGGGGGAATAGTAGTGATTTAGAAAGTTTTCTATTATTCCAGTAAGAATTTGTTTTTCGCCATATATTTTTCCAATAAGCTGACTCAATAGAAAAATCATATTTTATAGCACAAATTTCTTATTGATTGGAAAACCTTTTGTATGATGAGGGGTCCAATCTACTATATGTAGCATGCTGCACTAGCTAGCTTGTTTACAGCAGCAAAATCCAAATATTTTGGTATGACATTAAATTGATCATCCACTATTGGTTGCTTCTCGATCAGTATAATTAGCTTTTGGACCACTGTAAAATTAAAGATGAGTTTTAATTTTTACTACAGCTGTTTTCATTCAACTTTAATGCTTTTTAACAGTAGTTTTAATTGGAAGTATGAATAAGAACAGCTATAGCAGTTGTGATAGTATACATATAGCAACCTACAAGAATCACAACTCAGACACCGACAAACATTTCAAACCATACGTTATTTACTCTAATTTTTATGACCAGACAGCCCCCTACACATGCACACACATAATTAATACGATCCGTCAATTTCATTTTACTTGATCACTATAGTAAAAAAAATATATTTCATTATACGTGTCTATTTTAACAAATTAAGGAAATAACCCGTTATAAAGTCTTGCTTATGTTTTAAATTGATATTTACTTTGTACTATTATTTTTAAACAGCTCATAATGTGTAAGAGCTGTTAAATAGTTTCATTTTTTTTCTTTTATGTACTTTTAAGTATGACAGAATTATTGACTTAACCTGACAAAGACAGACATATTTATTGGTCTTTTTACCTTAATTAGTAGAAAGAAAATTTTCTTGCATTTTCCTTAATTAGCATAAAGTCAAAATATAATTACTTTTAAATATTAAAATCATTAAAAACTTTAGTGCTTAAAGTTATAATGGTTGTAAATTATGTTTACATGACAGAAAGAGCGTTCATTAACATAATATTTTTTTTAAATAGACCATTAGGACTCACCCAAGACATTATACATTGATACTACTAATTGTATACGTTTTATTTGGAATTATTTTTATGCACGCGTTCTCATTACTGGAAAAAGATATACTACTATACTTTATATAAATAAATAAGTATAATAAAGTGAGGCCATTATAGGAGGTACGTAATTTGTGCAGTAATTGCTCCCTACTCGAAAGGTTCCTATAATCCTCTAACTTGGACAAATACTATAAAAATTCTTTACACTAGCACGGTATATAACTTAAACACAATAATAAGTGGCCGTCGACCCATGTTTCAACAATTTTTAAAAAAAAATAGTTTTTAATTTCAAAGTAAAAAATGATTCTATGTGAATAATTACCCATATCTCTTGTGAAACGAGTGTATGGTATATGCATGAAAATAACTTGCAATTACTAAGAGGAAATATGGCTATTTTGGCCAAAATTCTAGGAAGTCAAAAAGTTTCTTTTTTTTTTGTTTTTTTTGTTTTGGGAGTGCTATTTTAGAGAGTTGTGGAGTTTGAAAAAACTTACTAAAAATATAAAATAAGTAATAACAAAAGATGAAAAATAAAAGGAATTTTCACCAAAAACAAAAGTTATTTTCAAATTTTAACTTGATAAATTATGGCTCTTATATTGATATAGTTTTTCAAACAATAAGCTAAACACATATTGTTATAGAAAACAACATCTCTATCGCTTAAAAACAGAAATTAGGTGTCATAACAATTATGTTCTCTACATCTCATTCGTGAAATTATACTCAATAAATTATGATTAATCATAAAATAAATCAATTTTGAAAATTTACCAGAACATGCTATAATTGTAAAATGGACTTGAAAGTGTATGACCTACTAGAAATAAAAGCAACGCACGGCAAAGTTATTGCAGTTTCCCATTTGCTGGCCTATACGGATTAATAAAAACTATTTTGACCATATCATTTTCATAGGAGTAATATTTTCTTCATTTCATATTAATTGTCAATCGTCTGCTTTACATGCTTAGAAATATATATTTATAATTTAAAAAGATAATTTTATTAATTTAACTTTTAATAATTTTAATTCTTCTTAAAAATGTTAAATAACATGAACAACTAATATGAGACGTAGAGTAGAATTTATTAGGTGTATTATACAATGCATTCATTGAATTCGCCCCAGAAAATCGATTTTTGTGGGACCAATAATAAGTTAAAAACCTCATATTACGTCCTTTTCCTCATATATATAAACTCAATCTTTGTTTTTCGGGAAATTAGCATTTTAGTCCCTCAAATATTGGAAAATTATTATATTAGGGCTTGTATTTTTTGGTTGAATATAGATGTAACTTTCAATTAATTAATATCAGCATTTTGTATCCCTCCTTATGTATGTTTACAAATTTAACGAATTACTTCATAAAAGTTGTTTAATTCATGTATTGGTATGGATTGTTATATACATCTAATGATCTTTTTGTCAGTTTCATATCGTTATTTTCATTAAAAATCATTTCTCTACCTCACTAAAATAAGATAAAATTTACATATGTCTAATTCTGTTCGTATTTCACTTATAATGCTATTTTGAGTATTGCTATTGACTATTGTTGTACATAATTACTTTGTTGGCATAATCTTTAAAGAGTAATGGACAGGCTGCAGGAACCAAATAAACCCCTAAACGTGAAGGACAAGTTGGATTTTCAAAAACAATCTTAGCTAAATATGGCTTCCAATCATATTTCATTACTGTTATAACATATAACAAACTCATTTTTTATCTCTAACTAAAAAAATTATATCTTAAATTAATTACTCTTTTTAGATATATTAGTATTCTTAATTTTGAATCTTAGTTATTTATATGTAAAAGAAAGTACGGATACAATGGAGTACTAGTATTTTACTAAAATAATCTATTTTTCTCATATTTTTTTACTTTAAATTTAAACTTAAAAAGGACAAATAAAAAATAAAATAAAAAAACAGAAACGCAAAAGAGGAAGAGAGAAGCAATTGGGCGTCAAAGTCAAAATTAGAAAGTCCTAAAAATGCATGAAAAGCTGCAAATGCAGGTGACAAAGGCTGCACAAGAGACCATTTGTTCACAGTGCTACAGTGAAAAAGCCAAACACAGGCTCAACCACAGTCCACAAAGTGGCACATTTATAACTTTATTATTGGCAACCAGAAAAAGAAAAGAAAAAAAGTTCATTAGCAATATTTACAAAAAGAATTTAAGTACACTGTTACTCTACATTATTTCAACTTAAAAATCTGAAGTTTGTCTTCATTAGATAAACTATTCCCGAATTCAGTGGCGGAATTAAAAATTTAACGAAGAAAGTCCAATTATCTTATGTACTTACGCATTTTATATTTTGTAAGATCTCTTATTAAAATTTAATTTTCAACCATCGATGCCATCTTGAGGTGTTCATTTTAAAACATGTATGAATATGATCATTAGAAAGCTGTCTTATATAACCCCACACGCCCATAACAAAACAAAAAAAGGTACAATCACAATAGACTTTATACTATTACTAGTCTTTTATTATTCATTAACACCAAAAGAATCGAAAGATCTCAACATTATAAATAATGAGATTTCGGTTCACCTAATTCATCACTTGGCCTTTAATATATTTAGTTTACGGAAACTAAGTCAAACATTAACTTTAGTATCAACGGTGGATCCAACAATGATCTTCCCAGTTCAACATTAAATTTAACATAGGTCAATATTCACATAAAAAAAACGTAAACAAACAACGATTTATAAATAATAATATAACATATAAAAATACCACTAGATTCTTAAATAACTTAACCACACACTACTATTTTTGACACGATTGACGAAGACTAAACATAAAATTACTACGAAGACAAAAAAGAAGAAAAAAAAATTGAACTAAAATCATAGTTATGCACCAAGAATTTCCACTAAAAACTTTCCTTTCATTTTCTTGGAAAGAAAGCTTTTTTAAAAAAAAAAACTTGAAATGTAAAAAATAATATATTTACTTTGATTGTTTCTCCATAGCCATCATCAACAAACATCTTGGAAAAAATCATTTGCCCACTTACAAGTCTCCAAATCTTCATCCAACATTCTATTTCCGTGAATACTTAACACTTCTGGTAATAATCCCATTCCATCGCTAAAACCTGGTAATAATACATCATCCATCAATGGAGAAGGTGACCGAAAATCGAAGAAATCCTTAAGGAAACTCTGATCCATTAATGGCAAATTATCATCAAACATAAATCCATTTTGATCGATTTCCATTTTTTTGCTCTCGTCATTCATCTCCTGATTGGTAATTTTAGCATCAGCCGCAGCCGCAGCCGCAGCAGCATCATTAATATTATTATTATTATTATTATTATTATGATTGTTGTTCTGCCTCAAAACTGAGGTGGGAGAACAGAGGTTTTCACATTCCCCTGTAGAATCATAATCCGATACTGAAGTGATTATATTTTCCTTTTCCTTTTCCAAAGGCGTCTCAATAAAATTAATGATAGCATCAGCTCCGCGCAATTGAATAGCGGCTATATTATATTTCCTAGCAGCTTCTTCAGCCGTCTCAAAAGTACCTAACCAAACCCTTGTCTTTTTCACCGGATCTCGAATCTCCGCAGACCATTTTCCCCATGGCCTCTGTCTAACACCGCGAAACTTCTTAACATTCTCATCTCTCTTCAAATCGATCACCTTCTTCTTCTTTTTCGAAATCAACGATTTCCTCACATCTACGGCGGCTACTCTCTTCTCAAATTTAATCTCTGTAACGTATTTTTTCACTCGATTCCTCTCGTCGTCATCGTCGTCGCTTGAAGAATCAGTAGCATCACAATCAGTATAACAAATCCGAACAACTCTAGGAGTCAACCTGTTCTGATCATACTTAGTAGTGATAGTTTTGTGGACTTTGATTTTTTGTGAAGTTTTTGTTTCCATTTTTTGAACATGGAAGAGAGTGAAGAAGAAGGGAGTTATATGAGAAATTAAAGAGAGAAAAAAGGAAGAACAAGTCTTGATGAGTTTAACGACTAGTCAATGAGTGTTGTAGAGAGAGTGAGAGAGAGAAGAGGGAACTATATGGAACAGAGTGAAAGAGATTATATGGGAAGAAGATTTCACTTTTGAGTCATTAGTCAAAATTATATACTCTATTTTTTCTCATCTTTTTCGAATTTTCATTCTAATCTTTTTAATTTAATAATTAATTACTTTCCAGAAAAAAAAAATCTTTGACTAATTAATAATGTAATTTCCTTTATTCCTTATGCTTACTTTAGTTTGAGATAAAAGATGTTTTTTTTGAGATTGGATGGTATTATATTCGTCCTATTGTAGATCTTATTCATATTTTAGAGGCAAAGATAAGATTTATTGCTTAAAAAAGAGAAGTATATTATCTTATAACGAGGTGAAAACAAAAACATTATTGTTATTGGTGAACATTTACTTTGAAATTTTGCCTTGCCAATGAGATATAAATGAATTTAGCGTTATTAAACCAAAACAAAATAACAATAAGTCTATTATAGTGAAGTATATAAATAATACAATTAAAAGAAAAAGATCGATTTGTTGAAACAAAGTAATTTAATTAAACCCAAGGAAGAATATAAAATTATCAATGTATCCAGTATCATGATATTCAAATTTAGATCAATTGTCATTAAGAAGTTGGATTTTTATTTGGTGAGTAATGTTTTTTTAAAAAAATTGAGTAATTAACGAAATTAAAATTGTATTCAGCTTAAAAAATGAAAGGCGGTTAAAACGAGTCGCCGCATGGGAATGGGGGGCAGGTAAATGAGGCTATCACCTACGCTCCTTGCTCACCAAGTTTTTGCTCTTTTGTCCCTACGTATCATCAATAATTATTTCTTCTAAATAAAATAATAATAGTAGTAATACTTTTTCAGTATTACACATTGTTTCGGTTGAATAAATTATATTAGTAACTTTGTGTAGTTTTCAACAAAAAAAATTATTTCCTTTTAAGAAAAGTAAGATGCTAAACTAGAACTGAAAATTAAATGTACTAATTCCTTCTTTTATTTATATTATTTTTGTTGGACTGTAAATAATGATATTATTTTTTGAGACACAAAGAATGTATTAAGTTTCTTAGATTATTTTTCTTAAAGGTCCTCCTACTCTATGATTCGTCTTAATTTTTGATGTGGTTTCATATGATTTATTATTGTAAACATATTATATTTTATTTGTCCATTTTTAAGTTTACACACCTATTAAGAAAATAATAATTATGTGAATTTAACATTTTATTTTTTAATGGATAGAATTTCAGAATCAATTTACTCATTAAACAATTCTACCTTAGAAAAGTATTAACTCTCTAAATAAATTGAAGGTATAATAGGTAAAAAAATATCGTCTTTTTTTGATCTATCAAAAATGACAAGTAAAAAATCAAAATTGAACAAGTAAAAACGGACAAGTAAAAAGTCAAAATTGGACAAGTAAAAACCGACAAGTAAAATGTCAAAATTGGACAAGTAAAAAGGGACGAGTGGAGTACGTTCTTTTTTTAAAAGATTCATCACATTTCGTTTTTTTAGAGATAAAATACTCCTTCTATCCAACATTATTTGTCCACTATTTAGTTGCACACTTCTTAAAAAACTACAAATATATTGATAATTTTACTATATCACCCTTTGAATATAATAAATACAATGTCTAGAAAAATGTAATACTCCCTCTGTTCCTATTTACTTGTCCACTTTTTCTTTTATAGTTGTCCCTAATTATTTGTACATTTTGACAAATCAAGAAAGGAAACAAAAAAATTCTTATTATACCCTCAATTAATTACTTTGAAAAAGGTAGAACTTTTTTAAAATATTAAATTTTTAATTCATCCACTTTATAATTAATAAGGGTAAAAAGGTAAACTCACAATGTCAATAATTGTTTTCTTAATAGGTGTGCCAATTCAAAAATGAATAAGTAATTAGGAACAGAGGGAGTAAGAAAATAAATATAATTAATGATAAGGGTAAATTAAGAACTAAAGTGTATAAAAATAATACCCAATAGAGTGTATTAGTAATGCATGTATTAATTATACTTGTATTAGTTATGCATATATTATTTCTTATGCATTGTTTGGTTTGGTGTATTAAAAATAGTATGCATTGTATAAAAATATTTATTTACAAAAGTATCATTCACAATTATGGTGGAAAAGATGTAAAAGTACTTTTGAGGGGTAATTGAGTCTTTAACCATATTAATCCATGCATTAAATCCTTTGCATTACTAATATAATGGATTTCTAGGTATTAGTAATACATTGTTCAATACACAATAGAGTGTGCATTAGTTATACATACCATGAAAAAATTCATCAAACAAGGGATTACTAATACATATAATTAATGCATGCATTACTTTTGATAATACACTCTACCAAACGAACCCTAAGTGTAAATTGTCTATTTATTTAATAAAGTGGATAAATATTGTTCCACATCCAAAAATAGTATAGTGAACAAATATTATTGGACGGAAGAAGTATAAATTTTGATTAAATTATAAGATGTACTTTATTATTATATTAATATGAAAATTGTGATTTATGATAATTTACGTATAGTTTTTAAATTTTAAAATATGAAATTAATCTAATAATTTAAAATTCAAAAATTAGTTAAATTAATTGAGGAGAATTTTTTGGGACAGATGTAGTTAAAGGATAAGCTGATGTGTGACCGAGCTGATCATCGGCCAAATGTCAGCCAAATACATATAGCCGTCAGCCGATAATTAATACGAAATTCCTCAGAAATCTCACTAACCTTTTACTGATTAATAAGTATATAATTGATTATGCTAATAATCTAAACAGGTGGAGTACTTTTTTTGCTTGTCAACCAAGTACCTAATATTCAAACCCAATAAAATAGTAGTGTAGATCAAATAAAATTGGTAGAGAAGGTCAAAAATGTCTTAATCACCGCATTTAAATATTTCGTAAAAAAAAAAACCTATTTGATTACATATTTGGCAAAAATATGTTGCAAGTTTTGTTTTTTTTTAAATAAAAATAAATAGATAAACATTTAATCTTTCGAGGTTGGGTTACTTTTTCTCAATTTTTTACATTATAAAAATTAACCTCTAAAGGTCGATTTTGTTGAAAAAAAACATATTTTTCATTAAATCCAACTCCAAAAGATTAATTTCGTACTTTTCGTTTTTTGACGCTAAAAAAGCTACTTATAAGGTCAATTTTGTCAAAAAAATATTCTTTAGAAATATGTTATGAGAAACCGACCTTGAGAGGATGATTATTAATCCTTTTATTTTTCAAAGAGAGGTCCGTTTTTTCGTGATTTTGTAAAAATTCAACCTCAATAGGTGAGTTTTTCTCACGAAAAATAAATTTGAAAAGTAAAAATTAGACCAAAAGTTTTTTAAAAAAATTGGTAAGATCATGGTGAGTCGAAAAATCAGGTGAGTAATTTATTTAATTGGGAAAGTTTAATAGTGACCAATTATAAAATGTTATGTGAATTTTAAAATTCATAACTGATCATTATTCAAAGGACATAAGTGAGCCAAAAGATATAATCAAAATTATATTTTTAGCAAAACAAGTAGATAAAGAATATATTACTATATATTTTGCAATAGTTAAAGAATTATTTTAAGCCCTTCTCCATAAAACGTAATATCATGTGTTTGAATCCTAAACTACTATACCTAATTGAGCATTTTTTATTCATTTGTTAATTATGCAGAAAAAAACAATCTAATCTTCAACTTCTTTCATTATTCTTCATAAATAAAAGTTTCATATTTGTTTTTATTTTCTTAGTTTACTATGTGTTGCGTATTTGGTTGGAAAATATCAAAAATAAAATGCATTGATTCGGTTACCATATGAAATTGGTTATAACACAACATCTTTTATTTGTTCCATTATTAAAAAGATATGTTTCGTAATTGCTATTCCTTGCACTCCAAGGAATCAAATTAAAAGATTTTCAAATTATAAGTAAGTGTTTATAAAGGTGGATTCAAACTCTGATGTTTATGAGCTTTTATATCAACTATAAGTTAATACACAATAATAATTGAGTTCTTGATTAAATATTTAATTGAATCCTTAGTAATTATAAAGTTGTATACTACTTGTTTTTGACTTTTTGTATAGTGAAATTATATTTTATAAACTAGTTTGTTTAATATCATATTCATTTTTTAACATCAATTTAAATTGAAAAATTGATTTGATGTTAAAAGAATTTCACTTTTTATAAACTATACAAATGTCTAAAATTTATGTTAGACCATCAATTTAGAAAGCCTACCTATTATAGACCATAGTTTAAGTGGATGGCAAGAGTCACAAATTCAAAGAAGTTCGTACAGGTGTAACAAGACTACCTATTATAAACTACTTAACAAAAACCAACAAATAGCATTTTTTTTATTTGCCTAATATACTTATTTCCATTTATATAGTCATTTTAACGAGGTTGAAAGTGATGCCATTTCACACATTTAGATATCAAATTGAAAGTTATGTTCGTTTCCGCTAATAATTTTGATTGTTCACAGATATATTTAAGTCTTTCCATTTGTGATTAAGTTACATACACCGACAATGACAATGTAAATTTAAGTTTGTAATGCGACTGGTCATGATATTTTGAGTATAGGGTCCAGTTTTGCCTCTTGGAGTTAATTTCACCATTTCATATTCATGTATATACACTCAGCGACAAAGACGAGACTCAAAATTAGGAAAGAGTCAGTTCAAAATACGTCTAATTGGCTTCAATGATTGAGTCTGGTAAATGACACCACAGGTTGAAAATAAATCAGATCATCTCTTAAGGGAACAAACATCACTTTTCATAATTGTCATGACCTCAACTTTAATTTGTTGCTTTCTAGGACAATGATTCATCCATCAAATAGACAAATACTGACGACCATAAAGGCATAAACAAATGCGTGCACCACCAGGAATTACAAGTAACAGTAATAGGAGGACCTAAGACAATCTATTAAAATCAATGTTAGCACAAAAAGAACGAAAACTATACCATTGCTCATTCATCTGTTTCATTATTCTTTTATCCAATCTTTCAGATGGAACTGAGATAATAAGAAGATGAAGATATCCCACCTCAGCAGATGGAATGATAGTGCTCATACAGGTTATAGAGAGCGTATTTCTGAAGTAACAAACACGGTTGGAAATTAAATATGAATAAATGTTAAAAGTTTTATACAAACCATTGAAAGCAAAGCTGCAACCTTGATCCAGATAAATAACATATCCCAGATTTCTTCAAATGTTTGTATCCATACAAGAATATTCAAAGCATCTCCATTTTCTTGGAGAGGTCAATGTTTAATGCTATTCTACACTTGTTGATTGGGAAAGTAGAGACAACAGACAAATGAATTCATTTTACAAGGATTAAGACCCTTACATGTAATATAATATCTTAACCCATAGCATACTTCTGGGTCCAAACCCGGGCAGTTGATTCGTATTTGGCCCTGTCTGTCTTGTACATGTGAGCAATCTCTGGCACCAGGGGGTCATCAGGGTTTGGGTCCGTCAAAAGTGAGCAAATTGAAAGCAAAACCTGAAGGAAATACAAAAACATTTCCCCCTTAATAAATTCATCTATATGGGTCTAAAGATCTGTACAAAGAAAATACATCAATCAATGAAAACCAATCATGATACCATCACAGAACTGAGACATGATTATATTCAACAACACTGTTGAATGGTAATGGACATCTTACATAGAACTAAACTATGTTCACCAGTACTTCAACAGCTAGTATTAGAAATCACAAAGAACCCAAAGGAGAAGTTTCTAATTATCTGTACTATCCAATTAAATTATTTGCTTCTTTTAACATGTCAAATTTTATTTCCTATCCAGCTATCCTTTAGATTATATACTTCTTTTGGCTAATATCCTTCAGATTATATAAATTGGCTGATGGCTTCAAAATCTATTTGCAAGGGCTCTTATCAACCATGACTTTCAAGGTTCTGAAAGAATATTTCTGGTTCTTTAGCTTGTATAACTTCCCAGAAGATAAAAGGGTAGCTTGATAAGTAAAGAACGAACCTTAGAGATAGTTAAGGCAGGGCTCCACTGCTCCTTCAATATGTCGAGGCATATACTGCCATTACTGTTAATATTTGGATGGAAAACTTTTGTCCTAAAAGCAACCTGCAAACATACATCCATAACTGTAAGTAACACAATAATGTTGACAGGAGAATAACACATGTATACCTAGGCACACGTCAAAGTTCCACCAAATATTGCCAGATAAATGTCATAGCTGGCATGTTGAGTTTTCAAATAGTTGGACATATACGTATTTTATTTGATACATGCTATGAAAGTGTACAGAGAGAGAGAAAGAACTATGTTGATATTAACCATGATGTCTTTCCAGAGAAGCTATTGCACATTCTCAACCCTTCACCAAGAAGAAATTTGTTCATTTTATAAATGCTGTACTGAGTACTCTGTGCTGCTGACTTTACAGGCAGCAGGAAGATCCTAGTGTGTTCCATGTTTTTTTGTTTTTTTGATAGGTGTTTTTGATGAAAAATATTATACTCGTAAGATGTTCCCCTGCACATGACTCTCAACTCTTAATTAGTAAGTCAGTCACCAATAAGCCTAAATTCCATGACACTGCTCCCAACTATTCCTCTTTGGTCACCTATCAGGCAATCGTGAAAAAAAGTCGAGCACATGCAAAATAAACAAATTGATGAATCAACCCTCTCCCCAACCTAAAAATCTATTTCACTATTTTCTCAACCTGAGCTAGTTCATGTAACTTGGAAAAATTGACATCTCAGCTATCCAACAGGTGTAATCAGCAAAACCTACAAGAAACAAAACCAGCAATAGATCCACCACTGACACATCACAAGTTCACAGCCCAGATCTACATATTCTGTTGGGTGCAATGTCCTATAAGCTATGCTCCATGACCAGGAACACATTACCAGAAAATCTATACCGACATTCTCATTCAGAGTTATATTAGAACACTTTCAGAATCCAACAGAACAATGCTCCAAGTAGTAAACCTGAAAAATAAATAGGGCACTGGCAAACAGCAGAAATAATTACCAAGGCAGAGGTCATTAACTCATAGTAATTTGAACCATTTCATACCTTAGGAGGCTTGAATGGATAGTCAGGAGGAAAATGGATCGTAACTAAAAATACACCGCCAGTATAAGGACTGTCTGGGGGACCCATAATTGTGGCCTGCCAGTGAAACATGTCCTCTCCAACGGGGCCTGTTACACATGGTACAAAGGCAAGGAAGACAATAACAGTCAATTATCGATCACATAGCATATACATCCCTTACAAAGATGCAAGAATATTTACACACCTTGTTGAAGAATTAGCAAATTACAAAAGGTCCTACAACACAACTAAAAAGGCTTACAAGGTACTCTAGTAGAATATCTCCAAAGGACAGAAAAAGGTAAAGACTCATATGGAAACAGGAATAGCATTTCAAGGACTATGATACACATAATGCACTGGGATGATAATGTATAATTCTCAGTGGAAGACATCTATGCAGGGACTACTTTTTATTGCAAGGCTTAAATATGAATGATATAGTTCTCCATCAACACATGAGAAGAACAAACACAAAGTGGGATGCCTGAACAGAATGCACGATGAATGAACGATACACAGTAAAGCAACACTTCCTACTTGCTTCAAGAAATTATACATTGCCGTGTCGGTTATGTCAAGAGAATCCACTATGCAAAACTATAAACCTTTTTCTTCTTTTCAATCAAAAGTCACTTTTTCCAAATATTTTAAAATTAAACAGTAAGTGAATGTGACGACCTACCTTACGGATAAAAAGGAATCACTACAGAAAAGTGTTCCAGTCTTCATTAGAAATCCAGAACTATGCTGAAGGATGGAACAAATAGAGATGCTTAAATTCACCAATTTCTCTTATAGCAATGCCTAAACTATAATACCCGAGGACTGCTCTTCATAATCCAGAAAGCACACAAAAGGATGAGAACACAGCACTACATGATGCTAAAAAAACTATAGTTGACCTCACACGAGAAGGCTTTGTCAAGGGAGCCAGGCATCGACTGTCCAAGAATTAACCTATTAAAAAATTGAGTGGAACTTCTTTTTCCCGAGAAAGACACAAAGTTTGACTCCCACACAGAAATTATCATGGGAGAAGGCATACTCAAATCATTCCCAGTCTTTACCACCTTTAGTTGGCCCAGCTTAGCTGTGTAATACCTTCCCCATATGGAACCAAAAATTACTCTAAAGTAGTTGGCATTCCCGTATGTCAATTAAAGGCAAAGCAGTAAATGAAAGAAGCAAACTCAAGCTGGGCAGCATTTTATGAATTAAGATCAAGCTCATGTCCCATTCAAGTAAATTTTGAGTTCAAGCTTGTTAGACGTGAGTTTTAGCTCCATTTTTTAAATATGTTCTTCTCAGATACAAGCAACCAACATGTTAATTAAACTAATCATTTTCCGGTTATTGGGTAACTCAGAAACTCTAACAGAAGAGAAAATGACTTTTATACATTTATGAATGAAAAAGACAGTAGCAAGTACTGTCCATGCGCACACCACGAGTCAAACGGAACTTTCCCAGGTTCTGTTTGACTAACAATCAAGCAACAAAACGAGCTTGAAATTTGTTCAGTTCACAAATAAATGGGACCTGTTCGAGTCTGACGAGCCTAGTCAAGTTCTGTTCGTCAACATATTGTTCACTTACAACTCTAATTAAAGAAAATTGGCAAAGAAGTGTTGGGGCTAATATAGTACTATATATTAAGTATAGACTATAGAGAAAATGAAAGGCAGAATGGAACAAAACCTAAAATAGAACTACTAACCCGGGGTTAAAGTACAAAAGTAGATACATAATATAGTGTGTGATCAAACAATCAAAACTCAGAAAATGATAATGACCAGGTAGCATATGATTGAGAGATTGATTGTGTAATGAATGAATAATAAACAATTAAACTTTACAACAACTTCTCAGTTCACGTGCATCACATTATTTTCAGAGTATCCAAATTGTTTAATGGTTGACAGAAAGATCCATCAGAATTCAGAGACAAGAGGAGATATTCTTAAAGTTACATTTGTCTTCTATTTCTCTCCTAGACAGAGAGTATAGCATTTGATTTGAATACAAATATGTTAAAGACAATTCAATATGCAGCGTTCGAGAATTGATCCAGGACGTTAAGTTTACCAACAATCAAGCATCAAAACAAGGTACAAAAAAATGCAAACCATCTCATCAATGTTGAGCCTAGATAAATAAATCAATTTCTGAAACTAATTAAAAGTTTAACCTGATTTGAGTAGCAAGTAAGAAACAATTAGATATTAACACAAAAAAATGATACATAACAAAGGAAAATTCGAAACATTACGCAACAACATGTATTGAGAAAAAGGAAAAAGAAGGATACCGGCGCTGCAAGAGGTGGGAGGATCCTTCTGAAGATCCTTGAGTTCCTTCAATATCCGTTTCGAAGCCATCACAGCGAAAAATAACCGAGAGAAATACTATCAAAGAGAAGGAGATCGAGATCAAATCTGAGAGATAATCAAAAAGGAAAACGCAGATCAGATGCAAGAATTCACGACAAGGTTAACAAAGAATATATGCAGAAACAGGAGGCGTGAAGAACCTGCTTAGAGAACTGATTCTCTTCTTTGTTTGTTGCTGCCTCTTAACGCCAACAACACCCCTTTTTTCCCTAATATATTACTCTACTACACATCGGCGGTCCAATCATTTCAAATATGCAAAACCTTTTTTTTTTTATACTCTCTCAAAATAATTTTGAAGTATTTTTCAATTTATTATATTCAAAATATAATATCAGAAAATTATCATTTTATTTATTATCTACTACTCTCTTTGTTTCACAAAGAATTACCTAATTTGACTTGGAACGGAGTTTAAGAAAAGAAAGAATATTTTTTAATCTTGTGGTTCTAAATTAAAGTTATATCAAATGTACCAAAATGCTATTTAATCTTGTGGTTTTAAACATGTCACGTAAAAAGTTGACGTTAAAATGTTGCTAAAAAAGGAAAGGGATCATTCTTTTTGAAACAAACTAAAAAGAAAATAGGGTCATTCTTTTTTAAACAAAGGGAGTATTAATTATTGTGCTTAGTCAATACTGAACAAGTAAAATGGGTTATTGGAGTAATTAGAATGAGTGCTAGCTTGACTAATTTACCTTTATTTATATTTTAAGATATAATATATGTTATTATAATTGAGATATTTATAGTGTTAAGAAATAATTACAATTGAGTATAAAATAGGGAAGAAAATGATTCGGTCTTAAACTTCTAAAGACGCTAAATAGTTTGAGACGAATATTTTTAATAAACACAATAAATATTTTAAAACAGAAAAAATTATGTATATAATTATAACTATGCGAATACATTTTTGGAAAGCGAATGGTAATGAAAATTTAACAAACTTTCATAACTAAACTTGGTAATGTAACAATTAACATTATGAGTTGTCAATTTAGACTTATGTTTCAAGATGTGTAAGACTTGTGTACTTAAATTGGTAAGGTGGGTGGAATGAGAAAAAAAGAGAAGAAGAATAACTCAATAAATAATTGAGGTATAAAATAATAAAATTGAGCTAATCTTTTGAGTTTTGATGTGAAGAAAGCAAGGAATTGGTCTCCATTGGGCTGTTGACCCACTGCTTTTCCTAACTTTTGACCACGAAAATCTTCAAAAGATAACTAAGGCATCTCCAATCCGATTCTCTATTTTACTCTTTAAATATAGAGTTTTTTATTTTTTCAGACAACCAACTCCAACTCAATTTTTAATTTTATTCTCTATAAAAAGAAAAAAATTATCTCTCCTCAATATTATATTATAATTTCTATTTCATTCTCATTTTCTTATTTCACAATATAAATTTTTCTTTCTTTTTTCCAAATAATCACTTTTATATAATTTTCATGTGATATAAATTTTTATTTTTTCAAAATTTTTAATATAAAATTTTGTTTTATTCTAAATTTCTAAATAACATAAATTGGAAGCAAATATTATATAATATACAAATTAATGGACAATTCAAATAAAATTGAAATCATTAATGAAATATAATTACATAAACATTACATAAATACCCAACTTTCAAGATTATTATGTTGCTCCCATAAATTTTCTATTAACACATTATGGAGTTCAAAATGAGCATTTTTGTCCTTAATTTTTTTTATGTCTAGCTAAAAATTGTTCAAATCAAAGATTTTCATCTACCACCATTTTTGTTGTTACAGTTGGAGTCTCTACAACATCTTGAATTGGTGCATTAAGATTACGTTCATCCTCGATTATCATGTTGTGCAATATAATACATGTCGTCATTATATCATGTAACACTTCCTTTCTCTAAAAACGTGATTGCCCTACAATAATTGCAAAATGTGATTGTTAACCATTGAATGTACGTCCAACATCTTTTCGGCTCGATTCTTGTTTCATCGCGAAATATTTCTTCTTTTGAGAACGTGGATTACGAATAGTTTGAACAATTGTAGACCATTTAAAATTGTGCATTCTTTATAGTGAAAATTAATAATAATATCAAATTATATTAAATACACAAAAAAAATTTAAAAATTGAAATATTATTAATTCAGAATGAAAGTAGTATATATTAGTTAGGGATAAGGGTTTGAAAAATACCCCAACTTTGATCGAATTTGTTGTTGCGATACTAAACTTTCACAAGGACCTATTACCTCCCTAGACTATTTAATACCGTATTTTTTACCCCTTGAACTATTTAATATTGTATTTTAAAGGTATATATGTGCCCACGTGGACACATTACTATTTATAATTTTGCATAATTTTTTATGTCCACGTGGGCAAATATATATGTTTAAAATACGATATTAAATAGTCTAGGAAGGTAATAGGTCCTCATAAAAATTTAGTCTCGCAACAGCAAATTCGACCAAAGTTGGGGTATTTTTCAGACCCTTATCCCTATTAAATAATATATATATTTTTAAAAATATTATATTACATTTAAAAAGAATTATGAATATTAGAGATTTAATTCATAGACTTATATGAAAAATAATATATTAATTACAAAATAATAGAAATAATAATAAAATAATGAAAAAATAAAATAGAGAGTGTGAATAGTAGTTCTCAAAATTTGGAGAACTACTATTCACCTCTCTATATATAGAGAATGAAAAGTGAAATGGAGGGTAGTTGGAGAGCCCATTCTCTATTTTACTTTCCAAATATAGAGAATGGAGAGTAAAATAAAGTGAGATTGGAGATGGTCTAACTCTAGTAACATCGGTATTAGGAAGAATTCGAACTCAAAATCTTTGATTAAGGATTAAAAATACTTAATACTTTATCATAATCTTTGCTAGTGAATTATTAACTAAATGACAAGTGACACATACCACATCCCTAATTATTTTTTGCGACTTTTTTCCATAACTATGATAGAACAAATTATGAATTATGCATTTGAAATAGATGTTTGAGTTAATATATACATTATGAGCGATAAAATATCTCCATAGCAGAGGTTTTTTTATGAGATTTAAGATTTATGTCGTTTATTTATGTTGCGTCATATGAAAATAGACTAATATGATCGTTCTTTTTCTTATCTATTTACTTCTACTTAATTTGGACAAATTAAAAATATGAAAAAATTATCTTGTATTTTTGCATCGTTAAAAATTAAATATAAGATCTCATAATTTTCAATCAACTATATTAATTATTAGATTATTTTCTTTTTGGTCAAGAAAACTATTATTTTTTGCTTCAATATAATAAATTAATAAATTTTTGGAAGTTGAACTAGTAACTCCATGAAAAATTCGGAGGGCTCGAATTGCATATTTAAAACCTTTTAAAAAATTCAAATTCAGCAAATAGTAGGGGTGGACGTTGGTTTGATTCTTTCAAACTTCAAATTGATTTTTATGTTTTCGTTTTTTTAACTGTGTTCATCAAATATTGTATCAAACTACTTCAATTTTTCAAAAAAATAAAATCAAATTTGATTTGATTTAATTCAATTTTTAAATTCGATTCGTGGGTACTTATGAAGAATATTATTAATAATAAAAAATACTACCTCGCAGATGAAATTATAATAAGTTTGTTTGATTTAATCTGATACTCCATAAAGTCATGTTAATGCCTTTCTCTTTTAACTAATTAATTAATGTTTTGACAACTTGGGTTCTTAGATAGAGTACTCATCTCAAGTTGGTCTCGTCATTCCCACAATAGTTGAATTTTTGACAATTTTGACCTTTTAAGTTTTTAACCACTGCTTTCTTACCTTTTTTTTTTTCTTTTAAATTAATGATCATGATGTGGATTAGCTTTTGCATATCTCGACTAATTTCACGAAATACATATCATCTTCCACCTAACAATATTGTCTTTTCTTTTAAGTATTTTTCAAGAAGATGTTGGAAGATAAAAGTAAAGCTCAATCAAACAACTAAAAAGTAGCTAAATTGTTGAATGTTCACTAACAAAGAAAAAAAATACACCTAAAAAATAAACACCAAAGTTCTACAAAAATAGAATCGAAAAATAAATTAAGGTTGATTGAGTTCAATTTTTTGATATTTATGCCCCACCCCTAATAAATAGTTTTGAAATTTTTCCTTATTTTAGCTACACATATTTATCCTTTTTTTTTTCCTTGAAAAAAATAATTATTATTTCTCATATATTTCAAAAGTTAAATAATATGCTAGTAGTATTCAAAATATGCAATTCGAGACAAACTTTTATAGTAATTTTTTTTTTGCTGGAAGATACAAATATAAGAATAAAATACCAAATGCCAAAACCCTGATTAGCGTCTCCTCTCCAACCCTCCCCCCTGCTCTAAAACCTCAGGAAATTGGCACACTCCAACTCTTCCAGCTGAACAAAGATGGAGTACGTTAATCCCGAAGGTCTCCGTTTAGATGGTCGCCGTCCAATGGAGGTTTCTTTCTCTCTCATCACTAAATTTCTACCTTTTTCATGGTTATCTTCATTCTCTTATTACTTTGATTCGTCTGTGCCCGTGTTTACTTTCAGATGAGACAACTTCGTGCTGAAATAGGGGTTGTATCGAGAGCAGATGGGTAACTACTAAGATTTCTTTCTACTTGCATTATTAAGTTATTTTACACGTCAATTTGTAACTGATTTATCTTTTTTGTGTTTAATTAATTGGTTTGGTGCAAAATATGGGTAAGTTCGACAGTTAGGATATGTTTTTGATTGGCTGCAATTTTTTTGTACCTGCAACTGAGTTTGTTTACTCTGATTATTTGCAGTTCCGCCTCTTTTGAAATGGGTAATACCAAAGTCATTGCTGCAGTTTATGGTCCTAGGGAGGTAAGTTCATGTAATACTCAGTATGTTGATTCTGACTCTTTTTGGATTATGAATCAAATTATTTGTTGTTTGTTGGTATTAATGTCAAGGTGAAGTAATGGTTTTGAACTGAAAATAAAAGGAGGGAAGTTGTTTATGTAGAAATAGCAGTTTGTGTGGTATTGTCTTCCATGATGGAGGGAATGTCGCTTGGTAAAACAAGAATTTTTTATGGGTTGCGTGCTAACTTTTGAAATGTGAGGTGGTGGAAGCATGGCCTGTTCGATAGTTTAGTCTTTTTCACTAAGTTCTGTGAGAAACCTGATCAATTGGTTCTTCATTGATAGGCATGAGAATGGCAAGGCAAGGTGGGGTCTGGCATGGAGAAGCATTCTCCCAATCACAAGCCTGCCTCATCCCCCTCCCCCTCAATGTTGTTGCACCATATCTCCTTTTATTGTTATCTTAATATTTTTATTTACTCTCATCATGGTTCTGAATTTATAGCATTTAGTATGAAATTTATTAACTTTGATGAAGAGTATGAAATTTATTAAGTTATGCCTAGCATCAGTCAAGAAATGAGAATAATAAGAAAATGATAAGCTAATGAAATGAAATGTTGTAAAGTATATAGTAAAAACCTATAAAGGTTAAGAGAGAAAAATAGAAGGAAACAAACAGTGAGCCTGATGAATGGAAAAAGGGAGCTGAAACAATATAAAAGCACATAGGAATTGGAAAAGAATGATAGAACCATTAAAAGCATTAAGGAAGCCATATTTGATATTCCTTGCATCATGTAATTCATAATATACAAGATCCTCTACCAGCCCTGCCATGTGAAGTTGCCTTCCTAAATAATTCATTGGATATCCTGTTGTCCTCATCATTGAGGTTTTCCTTTGATGCAGTAAAGTAATTAATCGATCAGCATCTGAGATGCCTAACAGAACAAAAGTGAAAAAATTGGTTAGCTTTGGTACATTTTATTGATAAGGTAAATAATTTTATCAATAATAGGAAAATCTCCGGTATACAAGCAATAACAACATATCCAGTGAAGTCCCACAAGTGGGGGTAGAGAAGCGGTTTCCGATAGCCCCTCCACTCTAAGGAAGTATTAATCGTCGCACCAGGCTTGCCTAGTGCGGGTTACCTCTCTTGTGTGGTTTGCAAGTTATTGCATAGGAGCGGGGGTTTTACCTGTGCGCACCCAAAGTGTAGCGGCTGCGGGTTTCTCTTGTCATAAAAAAAACACTACTAGGCTGTAAACTTTATCACGGGGACTTAAGAGGATCTTGATTCACTAGGAGTTAAAAGTTTGAAATGCATATTATTTATGTCTAAATGCCAATTACTGTCTTCAACATAGAAATTGTGCAAAGGATGTAATAACCATTGCACCAAAATCAATTGTTGTATGTGCTAGCATGTCAAAGACTCAAAGTTATAGCTCTCAACGGAACTTCTGTTGCTGCTGATAATGGATAGTGTCTGCGGAAGTTTAGGTTGAATTTAAGTATCCTAATCATGTTAAGTGCGTAGTATGGATGCATCAGTGCAGCAAACTGCCTAGAATGACATTAAGCTCAATTGTAGAAGATGGCATCCAGTCCAGTTTTTGCGGAAGAAAGCTCCTAAAGATACTGGATGTTGCAATTATAGATGATCAAATTAGTGCCTGTTGTCCTTGGGTGCTCAGTGCATTGAACATCCAACAAGGAAAATGAGGGAAAATTTACGCTTGATGCTTTTATTTTTTTGAAGAGAGTATCACACTGGTATGCCAATTGGATACCAGTATATGCACATTTACTGAAAGTATCTAATCACTACCACTGTGATCTGATAAGGATATCGGTCTTAATTTTTCTCTATATAAAGGTTCATTCAAATGTCTCAATTGTTAGTTTCATCATTCAGGTTCAGAACAGGAGCCAACAGATGAATGACCAGGCACTGGTAAACTACCTTTCATGATGAATTCTTATACTGCAAGATGTATAACCTTAAAAGTGAGATGATATGATCATTACTTGCCATTCTCTTAGGTACGCTGCGAGTATAGCATGGCTAATTTCAGCACTGGCGATCGCCGGAGAAAAACAAAGGGTGATAGGTGATTCCATGTTACCTTGTCAGCCTTTTTTTTCCTTCTATTTTATGTGTTTTCAGTTTTCACCCATGTGACGATATCATCTTGCTCTGCTGACAGTTCCATTATAATTTTAAAAAAATCTGCATGTGTGCTTGGAAAATCAATGGACAATATTCTACAGAACTGGTGGTGGTAAAAGAACAGTTATCCCAGCTCTGAACTGTAGCTATTTAGTGGTTCAAAAGATGGAAGGCATACAGAGCACTAACGGTTATTGGATGGACAAGAAAACATATTCTATAGGTGTCGGGTTTAGTGGGTAGTTCGTAAGGGCGTAAGGTATAGTGAGGTGTGGATTTGGCGCACGTCATGGGTTCAAACCCTGCCTCCGACACAAGCCCGGTATTTATGTGGGAAGGGTAGAGGGCCGGCTTTCCACCGAATTTTAAACCTTGAGCCATTAGTCCTTGCTGATTTCTTGGTTATTTAAAAAAGGAAAATATTCTATAACCTAATGGAAGACTTTGGGACTGTTCAAGCACTTGTCCAGCCAAGAAAGATGCTGCTAGGATACTGTAGTAGAAAAGGAAACAGAATCTTAGGAATACTTGTAGTGCCCAAAAAATATTATTTAATGGTAAGGCTGGATAAGACGGTTGAACAAATTTTCCACAGAATGCAAGAATTAACTTGAAATGAAGCTAGGTAGTAAACACAGTTCACGAATCACTAATCTTAGTATGCCAATTCTTAGTTTATCATCTGTAATTACCTACAATTAACCAAGAAAATTATTCAATCTATGATATTTTTTTAAGGAGAAATTATTCAATCTATCAGACCGACAGTTAACTAAGAAAAGTCATTCAATCTGTGTTACACGATGTCTTTTTGATGATACCTTTGTTTTCAATTCTTAGGAGATCCACGGAGATATCTCTTGTTATTCGCCAGACAATGGAAGCTTGCATATTGACTCACCTGATGCCTCGCTCTCAGGTTCGTGGTCCGCTTAATATCTTTAACTTGAATAAGTTATGTAGTCTGACCTCCATTTACAGTTTCTTGATATTTTGCTTTTCAGATAGACATTTATGTCCAAGTCCTCCAAGCAGATGGAGGTAATCAGCACGGTGTTTTAGTGTTCTATTCTTCTGTTGTTCTCCTTCAGAATCAATCAGAAATTCAGAATAGATATTTAGCTGTCTGGTGCTGCATGCAGCTCATATTTTGCAGTTCTATTATGTTTTCCCTCTAGAAGTGCATTCTAACTAAGTTTAGTACATTATTTAGGTACAAGATCAGCATGCATAAATGCTGCCACACTGGCACTAGCTGATGCCGGGATTCCCATGCGTGATCTTGTCACATCGTGCAGTGCTGGTTACCTGAATAGCACACCTCTTCTTGGTAAATTAATTCTGAAAATTTAGTTGATTTTCCGGTTCTTTATTTCATAAATATCATTCTTTTCCAGTATTAATATGTGAATGATCTAAGTTGACATTACTCGTTAAACAGATTTAAACTACTTGGAAGACAGTGCTGGAGGCGCTGATGTCACTGTAGGAATTTTACCTAAGTTGGACAAAGTAACCCTTCTGCAGGTTTGTTAACTCCTATTGTCAGTAACGAATGAAATAAGGCTTTTGGCCTGGTGAATCGATGAATAACCTTCTGTGCTGCAGATGGATGCTAAACTACCAATGGATATTTTTGAAAATGTCATGCAATTAGCAGTTGAAGGCTGCAAAGCAGTGGAAAGCCACATCCGAGAAGTAGGACTGACAACTCGTTGCCTTCTTACCTACTTCGTATAATTGTTTCTGTAAAACTTTCTACTATCAGCATCTCCTGTTGCTCTTTTTGCAGATATTGCTAGAAAATGCTCAGACATTGGTGATTCGCCAAGGGTATGGCTCTTAACAGGCTGACGAACTTTTATAGAGTTTTTGGTAAGATGCTGCTCTTGCTGATTAATTATCTAATGCTGGTGGACTTTTTTGGTCAAAATTGCTAATGTTTTCCTCAAGGAAAATGAGAAGCAAAGAAAATTTGTGAAAACCTTGTTGTTTCTTCCATATTATTCTTGAAGCATTCTTTATCTCCTTTTCCAGCGGATGGGGGGGGGGGGGTGGGGGTTAAGGGTGGCTTTTGGAATAAAAAAATATGTTCAGTCAAGTACCATGATAATTTTTTGTGGTGACAAATAATTGAAGTTTGCTGAGGGAAAATATATTGCAATCAGTGCAACGTATAGGCTAGTCTGTACTCTAATGAGTTCATTTAATTAGTTCTATGGATAATATATGGCGTAATCTTGTTTTTTAGAAAACAAAAGGTCTTGTCGTCTTCTAGCATAAATTGGTAATTTTCAGGTTTGACAGAGTAAATGGTGTCTCAAATTTTTCTGTGGGGGGGGGGGGGGGGTAATGTACTTATATTGAAAACAGCCAATTGCCACTAGGACTACAATCTGTGCCAATTAAGAAAGTGCAATTTATACTTAAATCACAACGTTATCTAATTTCTCTACCTTTTCTGCATGGTAAAACACTCAAAAAATCAGTCTACCTTTTCCTATTTAATTGTTTTAAAGCTGTAGGTACTTATCTATGCAGATTCGTTGAGCCATGGTTTATTCTGTTTGTTTCCAGATTGCTGCAATTCCTGAAGGGAAAAAAAGGAGTCCTGCCAGAGCTTGTGGAGAAATGATTTCTCCTAGTGTTTCTTTGCTTTGCCTATTGTCTTTTTCTGCTATGTCGCAGTGCTTGTAGGATGTGTATTTATGGATCCTCTTGAAATTGATGATTAATGTGCAAGTTAATGCTATTGGAAATGTATTGAAGAAGTTTATGGTATGGCAGACTTCTAATTTCAACCTAGGCTAGAAAGGAGCAAGGCTTTGCATTTTAAGCTATGCAGTGTATACTTCAAATCACAGAAAAGTAGGTTTGGCCTTAATATGTCACCAATCATCAAGACAGCCAGTTACACAAACCTGAAAAATACATTGCAATGCAAACAACTTGACTCTTCTAAAGACACAACACCAAGCAGCCATTCTAAAAAAACGATAGGCTTTGGTGGCTCAACTGTGTAACACTTCATAACATCATTAACAAGCAAATAAACCTAGTATAGAGTTTACAGTCCCTCATTAAGCTGTAAGCTACTGAGCATTACTAAAATGTTTCTGCCGGGACTTTGAAGGATCATAGATCACAAAAACTCGATGGCACAGCCACAAGCTCTACACGACCTGTCCATTCCTCTCCTGGCTTCAAGGTGATGGGTTTCTCTATTGCTGCTCCATCAACACAAAGCATCTGCTTATACTCGTCGTCGCCAAAATCCACCATTGATTTGGCTTTCTTCTCCCATGGATTCCACACCACTGGAAAAAGACAGATACCAAAAAAGTTTTAGCCATACAAACTAAAGTTGGTAGGATCTTTCATGCTTCTTTGACAACTACTATCATCATGCTATAATGCACCAAAAGTTTCTGTCATACTACAAAATAAATTGTCAATATCCCAATTCCTTGTATTGATGCTACATTCTTTGCCAATGGAGGAAGTACCTCTCTCGAGATTACAAATATTATCAGGTCTTTTAATAGAAGAATACGTGACTAGAGATACTGAAGTAAATCCTGGTAAAAATTTAGCCTTAAGGTACAACAAACGTTAGTGGATACTTCCAAATGAGGACATTATCTCCCTCCATGTTAAATTGAAGATACTCACCAGTATCTGGCAATCCTTCCTTCCTTATCAGATATGTTCGTTTCCTTTCATGATCAAGAACAGCGATGCGATTTGGAGAACTAAGGTAGACACGGTCCATCTGCAAGAAACATGAATACTTCTCAATCCTAGAATAACAGGAACACCTTACAGTTGAAAGACCAATCAATTTATTAAGGTAAAAATAATGCCATCAGATGCTAAATATTTCGACTTCTTCCAAGTAAAATTCAGAAACAACATAAGATGTTAAGTGTCATTTCTTCAAATCTAAGTTGCTCGGACTCTCCAAAAATGTTGCTGCACCCGTGTCGGATCCTTCAAAAATACACTATTTTCGGAGGATCCGACATGCACCCGTCGACATTTTTGAAGAGTCCAAGCAACATAGCTTCAAATGGGTGAAAAGGAGCAAAACGATTAAGAGGACTGAGGTAGCATGCAAAGTGGATTCTCTATCATGCGTATTAAATTAAATGTAAACACAAAATTGAAGTGATTATCAACAAATATAGCTAGAGCAAAAGGTTTAAAATGTCAGAATTAATTTCCTTTCATCAAGACTGTCTATTTGGGAACAATTCTTGATAAAGAAAAGAATATCCGAAAGATTGACAAATCTCAATCCATGTCTAACTAATTGAAGTTACTATCTTTGATATTTGAAGGAGCTTCAAATAGTGAGATATGGATTAAGCTTTGTCAACCCTTGGGATATTCTTTTCTTTGTTTTATCTCGGCTGCGAATCGAACCTGAGACCTCATGGTGCCCAATCCACTTCATTAACCACTAGGCCACAACCCTTGGATGCATGTAAATATATAGTTCTACTAACCTTTTGACATTTTGATCTAGCTATAATTGTTGATAATTACTTGAATTTCTTGTTTTTTTATTTTTTTACATCTAATTTAGAAAAGCATGAAAGAAATTCCACTTTGCTTGCATACTTTTGTCCTCTTAATCTGTTCGCTCCAAGTAGATTAAGGACTAAGGAGAGACTGCAAGGACAATGTCTAGACAATTAGCTTTAGAGCTATAATACACTAATGGAGTAAATGGCCATAAACATCCCTCAATTATACCTAACGCTTAAGCTATATCCTTGCCCCATCACAATAAGCAAAAAGCATCCTAAACTATCCCAAAACTTACAAGTTATGTCCCTCCGTTAATTTTATGTTCAGAAATAATGGGTTCAACCAGAAGCACAAGACTATCCCACAAATTCAATACATTAGTCACCTTCCCTATGTTATGGCACTTGGGACATGAAAGTTGGAGCTAATGCTAAAAAGATTCAGCAAACCTTAATATCAAATCAAATTGTTCAGTTGAACTGTTGTAGAAACAAAACAATAATATTCTTACCAAAAATTACAAGGATATCTATATCTTTGTTATTTTCAACACATGAATAATTGGTTAAAAGTACACTTATAAATTGTTTTATGAATTCCAAGTGAGTAACTATTAATTATACATAAAAGACTTCAAGTTATAAAGGTAAAAGACGAATTATGTATCTCATTTACACATGAAGTAAACTATTTTAAAGGGTCATTATAATTATACATATAAAGGGTTCAAGAATTACAGACGAATTACGTATCTCATTATAAAGGGTTCACGATTGTCATAGGGTCTTATATAGAGTTACTCTTGAAGATATCTTATGCCACCATGAATAATGATATTTCATCTTTCATCAATAACCACAAAGTTTTGAGATAATGTAGTATTGAAATATGTACCTCAGATTCAAAAGTAATGGCATCTCCTTGTTCAGTAAAGCGTTCTTTCTGGCATAGGTTGTCCAGATAGTCCAGTGTTTCTAAACCTTCGATCCTTATTTCACTGTGGATAAGATTTCATGTAATAGTCTAAGATATTGGGAAGAACATAAGTCATTAAATTATTGTGCAACACATAATATAATGAATGATATAAAACAAAATTGCTGTCTTCTCTGAAATTTGAACTGCTACAAAATTTTCGTGAAAAAAAGTATAAAGATGCTGGGGAGGGGATAAACTCATAAATGCTTCCAACATCAGTAGAAATGTTGATAAACAGGAAGTACAAAATAATGAATAGGAAGCTCTTCTCTTATAGGAGAGGGCCAATTGAATGAAAAAGAAATTGTTCAAGAAGTGTGAGAAAAAATCATAAAAGAAATAGCTTTCAACTAAAGACGCAGACGATGAAGGAAAGCATACTTTAATAATGTAGCTTGCGGAAACCTTAAGACGGGATATAGGGGCAAAAAGGTATGAAGGTATGATATCGCAGCCCAGTTACAAAAGAATAAAAAGGGAATAACATACCTTATGTCGGAAACAGAGAAGTATGTATGATAAGCAAATGAGAAGCTGAATTGTTTGCCATTAATGTTTCTGATACGAGATATCAAGGACAAGCTTCCATCTGATGCCAGAGTAACCCGGAGGCGAAACTCAAAACTAGAAAGTATTAATGAAGAGACTCATCAGTAACTTCAAAAGCTATAACTGTTAGAAACCAAGCATAAAACTGACTTTTGACATGAAATACAGTCAGAAGTTGACTTCCATTTCTAGCATGGAGGTACTTCACTTTCCTATCTATCCATGAATTAGTTTTGACATCATGGTCAAAATAAACTAGGTACTATATCTCAGCAGAAAATAATCTTGAAAGCTTCCAATTTAATGAAATCGAAAGCATCCAACTTCCAAGTTAGCTAATTTAAGTCTGTTCTTCCAATTCTTTCTAATCTTTGATATTTATATAGGTGCTGATTTTATGATCATGTTCTCATGAAGTCGTTTTTTTTTTTTTGAGAAAATGTTCTCATGAAGTCATTTTCAAAAGCAAAGAGGATTTTGAGATATAAAGACTTTATGCATTCAACTAAAAACAATCGCAGATTTTGATATGGACGACAAATAGCTTTTGATTCAATATCTAAAGCTCCATACTGGAACCACCTAAAGTTTGCTACACATGATGACCATACCCGTGGGGCCAGAACCTCAGATCATCTTCTGAAGGTTTGAGCAGCAAGTCAATGAAAGATTTTCCTTGTGGGTCATATGTGAATAAAGATGGAGGGTCATCCTCAACGGTCCAGATTCTGTTTCTTGCGAATCCAAGTTGCTCAAGTGAACCACCATTTCCATACTGCAGCATAATTAAGATAATCAAACAAAATGCTGGAGAGTA